GCTGCAAAACGCTAATTGTATAGACAACATTTAGTTCGGCTTACTCAAAGTAATGCATAAAACATTCAAAAAATTTCTGAAAAATCTTTTTAAATGTACCGCTTAGAAAGGCAGTATTACGTGCAGCAAATAAATATGCAAAAGTGCATAGAGAAAAATACGAGTAGAAAAAACAACTGAGGAAAGTTTCACTAGCAAACTTATTGTGTTTCTAAGCAAAAGTTGCTTTATATTTACTCGTCCGACCTATATACACCACTTTTGAAGTAAGACTGTGGATTTTCTACCTTTTAAAAAATAGTTCCGCAATAAACTATTACTAATCCGCTTCAAACAGAGCTATTCAAATAAAAAAAATAAAAAATCTGCAAAACGTTGATGACTTTTTTTTGTTTCGACAGTATTCATTGGAAGAGGAAGTTTGTAATATATTTTTAGAAATACTTGTCATCTCATTTTTCTGTTCTCGCTTTCTTTAGCCCAATTTTAATTGACTTCTGAACTCATTTTTAATCCCAGTTCTCCACAACGCAAAAATGCGAATTTTTTGCTTTCTTCATTTCCAATAAAAAGCAAACAAACTACACGTACAGTTGAGCATTTTTAGCAAACAAACAGCCTACTGTCTGTATAAAAAAATATTTTTGAAAAAAAAAATTGGTCCTTTTTTGGGTATTCAAACGACAGTCAGTTATTTGGAGCGTCACTAAAGTTAATTCAAAAATTACAAGACATAAAATTGGTTCAGAATTTGGATTTCCATGCCAAACTGCATTAGAGTACCTAAAGAGAGAATGGAACTCATAAAGAAATAGAAACTATCTGCGGCGTAAAAACAGTGACCGGTTGCTGGTGAGATGTCACTATGTCCCATCAGGTCCAATAGAATTTCATTAATAAAGAATTTAAATGCTCATTTTAGTGATACAGTAAGACTGCTATCGTTCTGTCCCAAAGTTCTTTTCATTACATTTTGTAGACTGTAGAACTTGCAAAATTATATTCCGCCTTTTTTTTAATTCTCTTCAAATCTTTAGTAATTTATCAAACGGAAATTGCTATCTATAAAGTTAAAAACATTTCCTATCTGCTTAAAAAACCAATGATTTTAAAAAAGAAACCTAACTTCGTTGTTTAATTTTTTTT